TAGCTAAGGATCACAGTTCAAAGCCAGCATGGGCAGAAAAGTCCATGAGACTCTTAACTCCAATTAACCACCAGAAAAATGGAAATGGCGCTGTGGCTCAAGTGGTAGAGTGCCTTGAGCTAAAGAGCAAGGGACAGTGCTTAGGCCCAGAGTTCAAACCCTACAACCAAAAACAACAACAAATGAAATTTCTTAGCATGAATAAAATGGAAACAACATACAAAAAATTCTAGTATACTGCAAAAATAGTACTAAGAGGTAAATTTTTTTTTTTTTTTGTCGGTTGTGGGGCTTGAACTCTGGGCCTGGGCGTTGTCCCTCAGCTCTTCAGCTCAAGGTGAGCGCTCTACCACTTGAGCTATAGTGCCACTTCCGGTTTTTTGGTGGTTTATTGGAGATAGGAATCTCACGGTCTCTCCTGCCCGGGCTGGCTTTGAACCGCGATCCTCAGATCTCAGCCTCCTGAGTAGCTAGGATTACAGGCGTGAGCCACCAGCGCCAGGCTCTAAGAGGTAAATTTTTAACAGTAAATGCTCAAATTAAAAAAAAAAATGCTGGAAATTTCAAGTAAATGACCTATGTGTTTTAAGGACTTGGAAAGTGAAGGGCAAAGCCAAACTAAAATTAGCATTTCAAAAGAAACAATACAGGGGCTAGGAAGGCGGCTCAGTGGTAGAGTGCATGCCTTGCATGCCCGAGGCCCTGGGTTCGATTGCTCAGCACCACATAAGCAAAAAGAAAAAAGCCAGAAGTGGTGCTGTGGCTCAAGTGGTAGAGCGCTAGCCTTGAGCTGAAGAGCTGAGGGACAGTGCCCAGGCCCAGAGTTCAGGCCCCACGACCGGACCCCCACCCCCCCCCCGCAAAAAAAAAAAAAAAAAAAAAAAGAAAGAAACAATACAGGTCAGAGAGAGATAAATGAAATAAGTGACTGAAAAGAGCTGTTTCAAAAGACACTCTGACAAACGTTTGGCTAGACTCAATAGGATGAAATATAAAAAAGGAGATCATACAACTGCTATCACAGAAATTCAAAGGATTATTATAGGCGATTATATACCAACATTTGCCAACAAACTGGGAAAATTCAGAGGACAGGTATAAGTTTAGATGCATAAAACCTACCAACATGGGCTGGGAAGGCGGCTCAGTGGTAGAGCGCTTGCCTTGCATGCCCGAGGCCCTGGGTTCGATTCCTCAGCACCACATAAGCAAAAAGAAAAAAGCCAGAAGTGGCGCTGTGGCTCAAGTGGTAGAGTGCTAGTCTTGAGCTGAAGAGCTGAGGGACAGCACCCAGGCCCAGAGTTCAGGCCCCATGACTGGACCCAAACAAAACAAAACAAACAAACAAACAAACAAAAAAACCTACCAACATTGAGCCACCAAGACATGGAGAACCTCTATAAATCAGTAATGATTAGCTTGGTTTAATAAGGAATAAAAGTCCCCCAACAAAGCCAAGTCCAGGATTGAATGGCTTCACTGATAAACTCTACCAAATTTTATATTTATTTTATTTTTGTTGGTTGTGGGTCTGGAACTCTGGGCCTGGGCGCTGTCCCTCAGCTCTTCAGCTCAAGGCAAGAGCTCTACAACCTGAGCCACAGCACCACTTCCAGTTTTCTGGTGGTTTATTGGAGATCAGAGTCTCACGGACTTTTCTGCCTGGGCTGGCTTTGAACTGCAATCCTCAGATCTCAGCCTCCTGAGTAGCTAGGATTACAGGCGTGAGCCACCAGCACCTAGCTTCTACCAAATTTTAAAGAGGGTCTACCAATATTCTTTGTAAATTATTTCAAGAACTGAAAGGAAAGGAGCCCTTCTAACTCATCTTACAAGGCCTGCTACCATGATAACAAAAGAAAGCAAAGTAATATTAAAAAAAAATCTGTAGACCAATATTCCCGAGGAATATTTCCTGCAAAAATTCTTGGCAAAATACTACCAAATCAAAACCAACAGCACATATAAAAGACCTTGCATCCTGATTTAAATCAGGATTTGAATCAGAGGCGCAAGGATGGTTCAACATGCTTAAGTCAATATAGACAAACATGACAGATGACGAATAAAAAAATACTATGATCATCTCAATAGAGACAGAAAAAACATTCGATAAAACTTAACATTACTTCATGATAAGAACTGAACAATTTAGGCTTCCACCTATATATGACAAATACACACCCACCACCACAATGAAGGAGGGAAAGCTAAAAATCTAGAACCAGATAAAGTCTCCACTCTTAACAGTCTTAGTCAATTTAGTACTAAAAGTTTTTTGCCAGACACATAAGGCAAGAATAAGAAATAAGAAGCATACTAACAGAAGAGAAAGTGGTTAAATTATCCTATTTGTAGATTATAATACTGTATACAAGATAGCCTAAAGACTCCATAAAAAATTTCAAACTGTAAATTCAGTAATCAATATACAAATATTAGAGAATTTTAAGGCTGGGAATGTGGCTCAGTGGTAGAGTGCTTGCCTAGCATGCATGAAGCCCTAGGTTCAATTCCTTAGTACCACAAAAACAGAAAAAGCCAGAGTGGTTCTGTGGCTCAAGAGGTACAGTGCTAGCCTGGACCAAAACAAGCCCTCAGTTCAAGCCCCAGGACTGTCAAAAAGAAAAGAAAGAAAAGAAAATGAACTATACAACTTGGGTGGGGAGGGGAGAGAAAAATTGGGAGAGCAAGGGAAGGGGTGACACTGTCTAAAAAGAAATGTACTCGTCTGCAGATTTAGATAGAGGTAGAACTGTGGCTCAAGTGGTAGAGTGCTAGTCTTGAGCAAAGCTCAGGGACAGTGCCCAGACCTTGAGTTCAAGCCCCAGGACTGTATGCGCGCGCGCACACACACACACACAAACACACACACACACACACACACACACACACACACACACACAACTATATCCCAAATAAAGATTATTTTTTAATTATTTTTTAATTTTTGTCGGTAGTAGGGTATGAACTCTGGGCCTGGGCACTGTCCCTCAGCTCTTCAGCTCAAGGCTAGCGCTCTACCACTTGAGCTACAGCGCCACTTCCAGTTTTCTGTTTATGTGGTCCTAAGGAATCAAACTCAGGGCCTCATGTATGCAAGGCAAGCACTCTACCACTGAGCCACCTTCCCAGCCCCAAATAAAGATTATTTTTAAGAGAAAAATATTCATTGCTGTTTTAAGGTTGCATTCTGGAACAATCTGTAATATGTCATCTGGTAACTTACTCTCAGATGAGCACAAGGCATGTTGCACTTTTATTTAAGTCCTCCCACAAGGAACGGCATACCAAAGCCCTTTGGAGGTTTAATTTGTGCATTCAGTTTGTACATTCCTCATTACGTGTCTTAGAAGGCGCTCATCTCTAGAAGCAACGGCAATAGCAGGAACAGGCTGCTTGGAAGCGGGGAGGGCTGGGTCAGCCAGGGAGCTAGAGTTGGTTCTATACAGGGCAGTCTGCAAGGAGCAGCTCTGACCGGGGAGGGGCCATCTCAGTCCCCAGCCCTGGCTCAACCCGGACAGCTTCTGGGAAGGACAGACTCCATTTCCACAGTGCAACTATCACTATCCACCCAAAGCAAAGAGGGAAGGCAAATCAGTTTAGGAAAAAAACAAAACAAAACAAAAAAACCACCTGGCTGTGTCCAGTGAGAAAATGACATGACTTGAATAAAGGCCCAGCTGTCAGCTTCCATATTTATCCTGCAGCACTTGTTTGTCACAATACTTAAAAAGGCAATTTGTAACCTATTCATGTTTCAAGAACCCAAATCCTTGTTCTGACTCACATGCAGTGATTGGGAGCAGGTGCGCTAACTGGGCATCTCTGGCCTGGGCTGCGATGTGGGAGGTGAAGAAAAGGGCTCACAGGCATTCGTGCAGATTGCTGGAGGCGGGCACTAGGTCAAGGACCTGTGGGCTCACTGGAGCCTCCTTGGCTCAGATTAAGGTAGGTCAGGTCTGCCCTGGGCCTGAGGCCTTTCCACGTCCGCTACAACCCCTGCGGTTCCTCCAGGGAGAGGTTTCCAGCACTGTTCGGTATCACTGCCATGCCACTGAGCCAGCCCTCAGCAGCCCTATTACATCACAAGCAGCCGGGCGGAATCCAGATGCTCCTGCCCAACCCCAGGGTGCCCACACCACCTCTGGCTTTCTGTCAGTCTCCTCAGGGCCTTCATACCTTAAAGAACACTCTTGCCTTTCCACTCAGATCAAATTGAGAGAAAGAGCTTGTGTGTGTGTATGTGTGTGTTAGCGTTGGGGCTTGAATTCAGGGCTTGGGTACTGTCCCCAAGCTTTCGGTGCTCAAGGCTAGGACTCTACTTGAGCTACAGCTCCACTTCCCACTTTTTGTGATTAATTGGAGGTAAGAGTTTCACAGATTTTCCTGCCTAGGCTGCCTTTGAACTGTGATCCTCCGATCTCAGCCTCCTGAGTAGCTAGGATGACAGGTGTGAGCCTCTGGTGCCTGGGGTGGGAGCCTTCTATCTGGAGCCACATGTGCTTCAGGGCTAGCCCACCGGCTCCCCTCCCCCGACATGGAGCCCACATTTGGTGCATCAGATGCTGCGTGGTGCCTTCATTAACTGTTGTATCTTCACTGGGAACCACAGGCACTCTGGACCTCGTGGGCCTCTGGCATCCATTTCTAGTGATGGTCGTCCTCACACATGTTGTGACACTGTCTGCTTGGTGTGGGGCACGCACATACAGGAGAGGCTGTGCTGCAGCATGGCCAGATGGAAGCTGGACACACTAAGCTGTATGATTTCCACATGAGGAAATGCCTCTGGTTTTCATCTACCAAGAGTTCTAAGGAGAGGGAGTCAGACTCAGGCTCTGCGGCCACCACCCTCCACCCTGAGAGTGACTTCAACCAGAACCGTGAATACCATACCATGCGACGCTCCATGAGGGAAGAACTACAGCTGGGCAGGGCGTGGAGAACACGTGGCGTGTCCTGTGTGCTCAGGGGAAGGGGCCGAGGCCAGCACTTACCTGGCTGCAGACTGTCCTGACCCTGTGTAGTCTGTCCAAGGCCTCCTGTGGATTGCCCAGATACTGCTGCAGCTCCGCGTGCAGGATGCGCATGGAGAAGGGGACCATCGAGCCTGGAATGCAGACAGGGTGGAGTTAGCCTGCTTGCTGGCACCGGCACGCTTTCTCACCGGGCACAGGGAAGGAGGTGTGTGCAGGTGCTCCAGTGCAAGTGAGGACAGAACCTATCCATTCCCTTGTTGGTGGCATCAGTAAACACATGTGTTTCTTTGCAAAGTTGCAGCTACATTTGCCGGGATAATTATCGAGATGTGTGGACGGATGCCAGAGCCTTTGTCTCAGCTGGCCGCAATCATTCAGGAGGTGTCCGTCCTATACAGCACCCCGGCACAGACCTGCGGTGCCCCGCAGGGACCAGCAGGCCGCTCGGGCGCTCTTCTCTCAACGAGAAGGCTTTGAGCGTGGGCTCTCAGAGCAGGCACATGAGTGATGCCCAGAAAGTAAGATTCGTCCTGCAGGCGACCCTGAGACACCAGTGAGGGGCGGCGGCTGCGTGAGGAAACTGCCAGCTGAGGAGACTGTCTGCTTAGATGCCGACACCGCAGCCCTGCCCCAGAGCCACCCCTCGGAGAGGAGGGGTGGGGCGGAAACCCCGTTACCCAGGCCGCCTGGCAGGGTGAGTTAGGGAGACACGTAAGGAACCAGCCTCCAAACATGGCTGTGATCCCGCAGGAGAAAGTGGTATTTATGTAAGCAGCCTGCACCTGCACGCCTGGCACCTGGTCCGCTGATCACAGAGGAGGTGGACTGGTGCTGGTGTGACGGTGGAACGCCCCCACAGGCCCACCGGTGGCAGCGCGCTCCCCAGCTGGTGGTATGATTCTGGAGGGACCTGGAGACGTCGGGAGGCGGGGCCTAGCTGGAGGAAACAGGTCACTGCATGTGGGGCTGTCCCTGTATCTTGTCTCTGGCTCTGGCCATCTTTCCGTCTGCTTCCTGCCTGCTGTGAGAAGCCTCCTCCTGTCAGGGGCTCCCATGCAAATGCACGAGCCATGCAACACGGAGCAAACCCTCAGAAACGGTGACCAAACCTTCCTCCGTTATGTTCTTTCTGTGTGGTATTTGGTCACAGCAACAGAGTGACTAAAATGCCGGCAGAGGACAACTGCATGGATTCAGTGGAGGATGCCCAAGACAGGCCCAAGCTGTTAATACACAGACCTGCAATGCAGGTCAGAAGATGGTCAAAGAGCAAGCAGTGTGGCTCCTGCCATTGAGCCTCTTTTCCTGAATCTACTCATCTTCTGCTCATTCGCATCACAGAGGGTGAGATGAAACGTGAGCCTCCTGTCAATACTCATTCTCTTAAAAACTTCACTGAGCTTAAAACGCTGCAATTCTTTTTCTAATAACACAAGATAGCCTCTGCATTTGAAGATGAGCAGCTGAGTTTAATTATAATAGAAACTATTTCGGTTTCCTGTAAGAACAGTGCCACTTCCAACAGACAGGAGGTCTGCTGGTCCAGAATTTATTTCAGTGGAGAGACTACCTCAACAACCACAAACTCTGAGCCAGGCACAGAAACAATCTCCACTGCGAGTTCTCAATTCAGCTTGCAAATCATCTGCAATACAAAATGTAGGGGGAGCCACCTGCACCACACCTGACCACCATCAACCCACGGAAGTTTCTGCACTCAGGACATGCAAAAATGTCACGAACTGCTGGGCACTGGTGGTTCATGCCTGTAATACTAGCTACTCAGGATGCTGAGATCTGAGGATCAGGGTTTGAAGCCAGCTCAGGTAGGAAAGTCCACGAGACTCTTATCTCCACAATTAAGCACCAAAAAAGTCAGAAGTGGAGCCGTGGCTCAAGTGGTGAAACACTAGCTTGGAGCAAAAAAGTTCAGTAATAGCCCAATGTCGTAAGTTTGAGCTCTAGGACTGGTGCGCATGCATGCACGCGCGTGCACACACACACACACGCACGCACGTACTCGCACGCGCGCGCACACACACACCCTCATGAACTATATGAAAATACAAATTTTTGAGAGGAGGCAAAATAATGCTGAGGATTATTTTGCATTAAATGTATATATTAGAAAAGAAATACCTAAAAGCCAATACTACTAATTCTAGCAAACGGTTAATGAAGAAATGATACCTATTTTGTTTATCTCTTCCAGAAAACAGAAGCTGAGAAAACCTCTCAATTTGTTCTAAAAGGTCAGTATTACCCTAATACCAACACCAGACAATGATAGTACAAAATTGAAAACTGAACAGCAATATATTTCACAAACAGAAGCAAAAATCCTCAACAAAATTAATGTAACTTAACAAAAAAAAATTGTACCAAAAATTATCAAATGGAATCTAATAAAATGAATTTTAACAAATAAAATAGCAAACAAGTCTAATAATATACAATGTGACCCATGCAGGATCATGGTTAAAAAAAAAGTCCTATCAAGAAATGCAGGGGGTGGGCAGGAAGGTGGCTCAGTGGTAGAGTGCTTGCCTCACATGCATGAGGCCCTGGGTTCGATTCCTCAGCACCATATAAACTGAAAAAGCCGGAAGTGGTGCTGTGACTCAAGTGGCAGAGTGCTAGGCTTGAGTGGAAGAGATCAGGGACAGCGCCCAGGCCCAGAGTTCAAGACTTACAAACAACAACAAACAAACAAAAAAAACCCAAAAAAAACCCCAAAGAAAATTATTTGTATGATTAATGAAAACAAAATACACCTCGTGGCGTGACAAAAAAAAAAAAAGGAAAGATGCTGAGTGCCAATAGTTTACACCTGCAACCTACTCAAGAAGCTGAGATCTGAGGAGCCTGGTTTAAGCCAGTCTTGCAGCAGAGTTTGTGAGACTCTGATCCTCAATTAAATACCAAAAAGTTATGGAAGTGGAGCTGTGGCTTATATGGTAGAACACCTGCCTTGAGCAAAAAAATGCAAAGACAGCACCCAAGCTCTGAGTGTAAGTCCCAGGACTGGTGGACACACACACACACACACACACACACACACACACACACACACACTCTCTCTCTCTCTCTCTCTCTCTCTCTCTTCCAGGAAAGACATGCAGTTTATAGAATTAAGACATGAACAGAACAGCTAGGAAAGCAGTGTCTATTAGCTTCATGTAAGACATGTGAATTTGATGTAATAGACTTTAAGGCCAGGTATTGGGCTCAGAAGACAAAAGAGGTGTGGCTACTGTCCATCCACCTCAATAACACAACACAGAAACTGTGCTGTTGTAAGTCAGACCCTCTTGGTCTGGCTGGGCCAGCTCATCCAAGAGCAGCTGCTGTGCCCAGCGGCGTCGGCTGTGCTAAGGGTACTGCTGAGGGCCACAAAGCACGCAAGGCTCCCACCACCACAGCTGCCTGTCTGGCAGGACCAAGTAAGTGCCTTGGTAGAAAAAAGCTAGATAAAATTTGTAAGGAAGCAGCTTCTCTATGGATGTGTTTCGTGAAGATCCTCATGTACAATTACTATCTGCCAAGCATCCAGGTTGGCATGATACTATAGAAGCACTTTTCATTTAACATTTAAGAAATATTACATGTAAATATTCCTGCAAAATGTATTTCTGACTGTCCCCAGCACTGCTAAAAACCCACACTGCCACGGAAGAAAGAGGAATGTGCCAGAAAGCAGCACCGGCCTGCCATGGGAAGTGAAAACCAAGAAGAAAGGGCAGCATGTCAGCTTGACCCCAGAGGGGCCACCGCTGTCCACTGTGGGGTGGACACAGGCTGGGAGGCTGTGTCCTCTGTGGTCTGGAAATGTGGTGGCCTGGAGGCTGTCCCTGAGAGAGGGCTGACCATGTGTACTAACGCCACCGTCACACGACCAGGAAGCATTGACGTCCCTGTTACCAGCACAGAGAGCATTTGCAAAGGGCCCCACCAAACCTTTCCCAACTGGCATGGCTTTTCCTCTCGTTTTCAAGCTGCAAGGGCCACTGCTGCTCGGTATGTGTTTTCCTGGACACACGTCTTGTCTCTGAGTGGTAGCTTCTCCTCCGGTGGGACCGCCATGCCCATCAGTGTCCCTTCTTTTGCTGGACACACTGCCTCAGTACATGTCCGTCTGTCCCGAACACAGCACCACACTCCTAATCCCCAGCAATCACTTTCCATTCAGAACTACATCCATGAGCAGAAAAGACATTCTACAGTAAATATTAACTACGTATGTTCCAGTTTCCTGAGCTTACAGCCTGGAAGTGGCCGTGCCTGCCCAGGCGTGGCTCTGACTCAGCTGCTGACTGGTGAAAGGTTTGTGCACACCAGAGCAAGAGGCCTTCTTGGGTGGTCTCATGATAGCAATGAAACCCTCCAGTGAAACTGTGTGTGTCTTTAACAGTCTGCGTTGATGTTACTTTAACAAAAATGATGGGCAAAGAGAAAAGCAGTAAGATTAACAAGTCTTCTCCAGCTGCGGAAAGAAAGCCATAATAACGCATATGTAACGTAAAGAAAGCCCTAATAACGTCTTAGCACAAAACTGCTAAGATCTCAGCTACAGACAGTGCTGGAGATGCTCTGATCTGCTCACAGCGAAGAGCAGAGGATCCCACACAGCACGTCAGAAAGTTCCAGTGACATCCAACAAATCTAACCAGGCTGAAGTCACCGATGGAAATTGCTGGAAATGTCAGAGATGTGTATGAAACACAATACTGCTCTTTCCTGACATGAAAAACCTCAAACTTCTTAATTTTTACACAGGATTCATCTGAGGTCTCATTATGAATATCTTGAATGGGAAAAACTGTGTCTGACATTCAAATGAAACATATTAAAGCTCATTCATAAAAGTTATTTGTTTGTGTTATTATAGCCTCCTGTAAAGCACATTTTAACGACTTGCTTTGCTAATATATTGCGAGCTAAAATGAAATGAATGAATCAAGTTCTCACAGTTGTGCTTGTTACTCCACCAAGTGAGAAGAAAAATGAGTAAACATTCAGTGTATTATTGTGGATGAATGTTAATGCACTTCACAAAATGTGCATATGATTTATGGCTCATAATGTGAATTAGCTGCTTACTGATGCATAGACACTGTCCTCTGCACTGCCGGCGCGTCTCCCTCCTGGCAGCCTTGGGAAGACACGGCCCCACAGGAAGGAGGGGGATGGGCAGACCCATACATTTCATTCCTGTCTTCTGAAGATGAAGAAGAGCCTGAGTCCTCAGCAGGCCTTCTAGACCATGTGAGCACCAGGACATGAGAGCCTGACATGAGCCTGGGCTCAGCTTCTCCACCTCACAGGACACACACCTTTAGTGTCACTCCTCACAAGTGGGAACAACTGAGGCACAAGTAGTCATGTGGGGTCTATAGGGCACCCTGCGTAGCTGCATACCCACCGAGGGCGGGGCAGGAACACCAGCACATGGGCCTGTGCACTCCAGTCCTGAGCCTTTGGTTGGAGGCAGACAAAACCTGATCACAACCATCTTAGCAAATCTCAGGCCCAGGCAGAGTGTGGAAGCAGTGAAGGGCTGGGCTGAAGCCAGGTAGGAGTTTGCTGTTGAACTCAGGCCCTCCTCACATTTACTACAACTGTGTTCTATTAGGTGAGCCATACCCCCGTCCAAACACGCATATCCTTTAGGAGAAAAAACATAACGTCTATCTCCTGACTCTCAGAGCAAGCAGGCAACACTGACCACACAGGAACAGCCCCGACCTCACAGGCGGCGGCACCTGTTTGCTCTCTGACACTACCAGACGCTGTGAGGAGGCTCACTCCTCTTCGTGGAGTGGAAGTGTGCTCACAGCTTTACATGGAAAGGCGAGTCTCAAATGGCACATCAGGGACACCGGCTGACTCCCACCCTCGTCACCACAGGGAGGGAGGGCTGCACCGGTGCCAGGAGGAGCAGACTGCTGGAATCTCTGAGGGCTGCTGCTGCTGCTTTTTTTTTTTTCCCCCAGTCTGAGACTAGGACTCAAACTTGGCATCTGACATTTTTCTTCACTGGCTGGTGCTCTACCATCTGAGCCTCGCCTCTGACCTTTAAAGGATTTAAAACCAATTTCCCCAAAGACTTCCTGAGTGCTGTGTGTGGGCAGTCGACACTTGGGGTCACCAAGCTAGGACCTTCAGAAACACCTCTGAGTCTATACCCCACTTCTTCCATCTTGGAAGAGCGGGTGGGGTGGGCAGGGCGGTGCTTCTGGACCCTGCTTCCCAGGCCTGCTGTTCCCTCCTGCATGGAAACCTCAGGACCTGACGGAAGGGGCTTCAGGACTAGAGCCCCGTCCCAGCCAGGGTGGCACCAGCCTCTCTGCCCTGAAATCTCCCTGGTTGGCTGGTTCTCTTCCATGAAACCCACCAGCCAGCAGCTCAGGACCGCTGCTTGCATTTGTTATTTTAGGTAATAAGCGGATCCTGACCACTTTTTTCTTTTCCGTAAGGGGTAGCAGCAATTTAGTACCAGGGCTGCCGAAGCTCCCCAGCCTCCGGACGTCAAAGGATTCTGCAATCAGAGCACTGCAGACCAACTACCCCAGCGGTCCCACTTGGAAAAGGAAGAGACGAGACAGGGAAAGCGTAGGGATTCAGGGATGACTTCACCGTGCTTCTCTACCTCCCTTCAGAGACAGGGGACCTGAGTCTAAAAAACACACATAATAGAGCTGAATTCTGTTTTACTTTTACTTCTGAGTCAAGGTAATAAGTAAGATATTCAACTCAGTCTCGCCTGCCCAACAAGTGCTGCCGATGACCCTACACAAAGATGTCCTGTGCCTCAACGAACTCAGGGCAGAATAGCTGAGCCGACTGCTGTAAAGCCACTTGTGTATGTGGCATAATTTAATGTTCACGTCACTCCCAGAGGTGTGCAGATCACCACTGTTTTGCTAATAAGGATGGTGGGCACAGAGATATTTGCCAGCCCAAGGCAGCACAGCAAGTCAGTGTGGGGGAGGGCGGGAGGGGAGGGCGAGGGCCTAGCTTCAAATAACTGCTCACATTGCCTCTCAAGAGATTTCCTCCCACGTCAGTTTTCTGCTAAAGAACACAAGAGGGCTCAGGTTTCTCGGTAAGGTCAGTCCTCCACTTCAAGGCCACAAGGGCTTCTATAGTGTGTCTTTTCCTCTCTGCAGCCTTATTTCTGGCTTCCGTCTAGAACAGGTTTGTGCCATGGCCCCGTGTTTCCAAACAGTGATTGTGACTGGAGGGCCACAATGAAATGTGTTAAATGTATTAAGAACAGAGACTGGGGGAGACCTCTCACCTGTGCTCCACGTGGAAAGGACGGGTGTCCCTTCATTCGCAGGAGTGCGTGTGCATCAAAGAGCAGCTTTTACTTAGGCCCCAGCGGGAAAAGCCCGATGCCCAGTGTCCAGGCCCTGCAGCCACCACCTTGCCTGCCCTGGCACACGCCTGAGGTGGCTGCTGTGTGGACCCGGGAGGTGTGTGTGAGCACCGGCAGGGCACGTGGCTGCAAAGCCGAGTGCGCTCACTCTGCGAGTTCAGGATCGTGGCTGGGCTGCTCATTTGATTTTTCAGGATTGGGTCAATGAGAAAAACTGAAGATACCTAATTACACCTGAGCGACAGAAAAACAGGGCAAACACATGGCATTACGCAGACATTAAGGACCACTGTCTTACCCCTGCGTCCTGGATACACATGCGGGTAGTATTCGTAATAAAGGTCTGGTTGGTCCAGATTTCCAAAGGGCTCCAATTCCACTTCAGCATTCTGGAAAAGGCCTAACTTCACCAGCAGTGCCAGCCTCACAAACCACAGCTGAAACGCGAGACAACAGGAACAATGCATCAAGTCAGCAGCTCCCTCTTCCTTATTAGCCTGATTGCCAGCGCCCAAGGCAGGGGCTAAGCTCTCTTTCCCTCTTTGCACTTTGCATAGTTACATGTTTATAAAAGCACTGGAGCTCAGAAACATCAATGTGAACGATTCAATTCAATCAGCCACACTCGGTGAGCAGGGTACGTGTGCGAAGCTTCACAAGAGCTGGAAAAACAACCCAGCCCGCTGGAAGGAGGATGTCAGAGTGGGCTGGGCAATGACTGCAGAGCCGAGGGGGAGAGGGCCCAGGAGGTGTCGATCGGGGGTGGGGAACGTGGCCTGTGTGTAAGGCCCACGTGAAAGGCTCGCGCTATCATCCTGCTGGGCCTGCCATGGCAACTGCAGGTGGGACTTGAAATTCAACCAATCCAGGAGCTCTGCTCATGGCAACATAACCATCAATGCGATCAATGGCCCTACAGTCTTGCTTGGAAGATGAACGAGTTGTGCTGGAGATGGCTTGGGCGGGTCTGCAGGCCCAGGGGACAGACAGGTGGACATGGACCCAGGGAGGGCAGTCCTTGAGCTGTGTGCCTGTGAGCTCTCCAGGGCCCATGCATACAGCCACTTTGGGAACTGAACAGTGCTTCAGAAATGACTCACGTCAGTCTCTGTACTGACAAGAAAACAAGGCTAATGTGCTCATCAATGTGTACAGAAGACAAAGTAGGTACACACACTGAATGGCACAGTATACAGACTTACAAAAGGAACTCTTGGCATTTCAACAATACCTAGACTCATACCATTCATTCTTTAAGCCATCCAGACACGCCTGCTGTGGATGCCAGACCTAAGACCTTCCATTCCCAGAAGCAGAGTCGAACAGTCTCCCAGAGCAGAGGCTGAGAAGCCAAACGACAGCGCAGCAAGTGGGGGGCTCACCTGGAGGGAGTCGGTGGTGTGGCTGGTGGGCAGCCCGCTCTTGCCGTAGCCTTGGCCGTGGGCTGTGAGGAGGCGTCCGCACAGGTCCACAGCTGCCCTCCAGTTTTTGCAGCTCTGTAAGACAGAACAGGACACAGAACCGCATGCATGTGTCACTTTGCTGGAAGAAGCTCCACTCAGCCTCGGGTAAGGCTGGTTGGTGGCTGTCCAATATGGAGAGCCATTTGAGACAATCAAATCTGAGGACATCAAAATTTAACAACTGGTTGAACATGGGGAGGAGAGTTCTTACTGAAAAGCTTTCCTTGGCCCAATCTATACAAGACAGCTCTATCTTGTGATTTCTTTTTTTTGTCCGTCATGGGGCTTAGACTCTGGCCTGGGCGCTGTCCTGCAGCTCTTCAGCTAAAGGCTAGCGCTCTACCACTTGAGCTACAGCACCACTTCCGGCCTTTCCTGCTTATGTGGTGCTGAGGAATCAAACCCAAGGTACCTCATGCATGTAAGGGAAGCACTCTAGCACTGAGCCACCTTCCCAGCCCCTATCTTGTGATTTCTGTGAATTTAAATTCAATAATTTAATTTTATGCTATGTTAGAAATATTTATTCATATCTGTAAGATACAGAATGGGGGCTGGGAAGGTGGCTCAGTGGTAAAGTGCTTGCCTCCCATGCATGAGGCAGTGGGTTTGATTCTTCAGCACCAGAAAAGGCTGGAAGTGGCTCTGTGGCTCAAGTGATAGAGCGCTAGCCTTGAGCTGAAGAGCTGAGGGATAGCACCCAGGCCTACAGTTCAAGCCCCATGACCGACCAAAAAAAAAAAAAGATATAGAATGGACTATATTTTCAACAATTTCATTTTGTCACTATGAATACAGTGACTCAAGAATGCCATCAACGTTCCTGTCACACATCAGTTTACCCCATCATACTACACTACATTACTGGAACCATGGGATGGTGGTGGCCACCGACAAACGTTGCCCTCTACAGGAAGAGGGCAGCCAGGCAGCCAAATGGACAACATCAGAGAAAGATGGTCCCTCTGTCAAGACACAAAGGGAATTCTCCATACCTTCAATGTAACAGGCACCATGCTGTAGATGTGCCCATGTGTACATTCAACAAATGGGCTGTAAGTACCTCCTGTTGGGCAAAGGGTTCAAGGGCAAAGTGATAAACGAACTCTTTAATTGTTGGATCTAGCGAGCAAAGGTATATACCAAGTGTTTCTTGAACAGTAAGTTTAGGGTGCCTTGAGGCTGGGTGGCCAGGCAACCTCAGATGGGGTGGGAAAAGGTGGGGGAGAGGGCAGCTGCAGGTCCCTGGAGTTTCCTTAGGACAGGTAGGTTTTGAGCGACACAGCAAACCCAGGTGGGTGACTAGGACACAAATGAAGAGAGAGGGAGACACGGCTGTGACACAGTGGGGAAACGAAGGAGAGAGGGAGGGAGGGAAAGAGAAAGGGAGGGAGGAGGGAACGGGAGAGAGAGAGACAGGCAGGCACACACACACACACACACGAGAAGAAAGAAAATTCTGGACTTCAGGCCAGGCAGAGCCCAGACTCACCCTGAGGGGCTTCACGAGTCTGAAACGTGAGGGGAGAGCACGCACCCTTTCTGCATGTGAGCTCGCCCCTCCGCGCAGCGGGGCTCTGCATGAGTTAGTGCAGGGTCTGAGCGTGGCTGAGCTTACAGATCTGGGACCCGGACCCTGCCTCTCGGGGGTGAGGATGGAGTCAGGTGTCCTACGCGCGGGTGCTGAGCCCGGTGCCAAGCAATGGTGGACATTACTGGACGAGGCCCCATGAGGCACCTATCGTGTGCTCCAGCCTCAGTGTGATGTCCTTCATAACGCTGCCAGGCAGGCGGGTGGCAGCGCCCTGCGGGAGAACCTTTCCTCTTCTCCCTGACTGCAGGATGGCCTGGACTCTGTGCCAACCGGCACCGTCTCTGGGCTGCCCAGCCCAGCTCTCCAGTGGTTCCCCAGAGAGCCAGCTTCTTTCTTTCTGTGCTGAATACCATTCCACTGAACACACGTGCACTGGTCTTTTGACTCACTCACGGAAGGCCATCTTGGGTCCACTGGTTTTGGGCATTCTGAACAAGGTGCTGTAGATGCCTGTGTGCAGTGTTGTGTGCCCCTCATTGTTCAATTCAACGGGGCACCTCCTGGCGGGTGTGTGTGTGGTAGTTTCACTGCTGGGTTGTTTTACAAGGACAGGCTGGCTGCTTGCCAGAGTGGCTGTCCCGGTTTGCATTCCCACCTGCAGCAACGGGAGTTCCTTTGCTCCACGTCCTCGCCAGCACCCTGGTGGTCTCTGGACGTGAGCCTCTCGCACGGGTGCTGAGGCTCTCACGGCCTGACGCGCTCCTCAGCACTCCTCTTCCACGTGATCCTCCGCGGCCTGGCAGCGGGCAGTCCACAGTGCCGGCCAGCCAGCTGCAAACGTAGACGACTCAATGTCGTTTCTCAAAATACTTCCCATGGCTTTCCTCCCTTTGGGTGAAGAAACAGCGTATTCCCAATGCAGTCAGGTCTTCAACGGCTAGAACAGCCCCCGGACTGGGTACTGCAGTGAGTCTGTCTTTGCAGCCATGCAAGCAACTTTGAGAGCCAGTGGTCAACTATGAAGATGAAAATATGCCACATTCCTCCCAACTGTCCAAATTACGGTAAAACAGCTTCAAGTAATACGTACTCTTATGTTCTGGTGGACAGATCAGAAATATTTTTAGAGTCACTGAGATAATTTGCTGAAATGATCTCCAAATGCTTTCTCTAGTCTAAATTTGATGCAATAATCACTTTATGCAGCACAAGTGGCTATGTATATATTCTCTTTGAATTGCAAATGGTGAAGAGCAGGAAAGACCTTCTGCCAAGTCTGGAGCAGCTCTGCATCTGTGTCTGTCTGATCCACCACCAGCACAGCCGCTCGCCGGCCCCCTCCTAGGGCCTGGCCAAGTGTGCTGGCCTTGCCTACTGGGGGCACTTACCAAGAGCGCAGAAATCGCAAGACACTCTGGGTAAGTGTATCAAGACACATGTGTGCTCAGGCACGCACACCTGTCCATGATCACACATTTATGACAGCAATATCACTTGTCTGGCAAAGAAACCATCAGGCTGGCAGCACTGGGGTGGCGTCTTGCAAGATGAATCAGAGATGCCTATGGACCAAAGACCGCACCTTATGCAGGGGTGGTGGGTGTGGGCACTATGGTGGAAACGCACACAAGCCACAGAGACTGTGGCCCCTGTCTGTGGACTCAGAAGAGACTTTCTGATGAGGGAGCAGAGCACACAGCAAACTGTGACTGAGCCGGGGGTGCAGCGGGGGTGGGGGTGGTGTTGAAAAGGCTGGTCCTGGGAACTGAGCAGTGGGTGACAGGCTCAGATAGCCGCGGAGCAACTGCTGCAGGGCAGGTGCAGGACAGTACTGGCAGGTGCAAGGCAGGTGCGGGACAGTTTTCTAATTCTTTAGTGTGTATTCTGAGGACAGAAAACCCCACTGAGCTGAATTAGTGAATAATGCAAAGAAACAAGGTCTTGACTTAGCACAAGAATGGAATGGGAGTGAGAGAGGAGACAAACATCTTTCATTTCTATTACATACTTGGGAGGTAAAGTATTTTTTATTAATTTTCTGGGAAGTCCAAGTTCTGATCTGGGCAAAGGAGCATTATCATTATTAGCACCAGGAATGCAGGAGAAGCGGCAGGCAAGCCTGTGGGATCTGAGGCAATGCACCTCGTGAACACACACCGTTGCCTTCAGGAGAGCCGCCCACACAGTCATGGCTACCGCCCACACCCTGGCTCCTGCCCCTTGCCCGCACTGTAGGACTCACGGAGGTGGGAGGTGCAAAACTGAGTGAGAATGCCGTCTTTGAACAAGGATGTCCTCATGCTTCTGTGTCCTTGTAACCCTTATTCAAACACAGGTTGCTCTGTGTTCTTGCCTTCACTCACAGCTTCCTTGTATTCTACAGATGCTCTTGGAAGACAGCGTTGGATGCTGGCTGCGTGGCGCAGCTGGGCTCAGCTCGCAAGGCAGCTCTCCACCTTGGATGCCAGAAGAAGTGCCAGCTTTCCAGAAGCTCTGCAGGCCTGGGGCCGCCAGGACACCATTCTGGGAGAGCTGAGGGCGCCCTGCACCCACCACTTCACACTGCCCCAGCCATCCCAGGATGAAAGAAACACAAATCACATCTCCTGAACCAAGGATGGACTCCCATGTGGACGGTGCCTACCACAAACGAAACAGGACAGTGCGCGCTTCGGCAGCACATATACTAAAATTGGAACGATACAGCTATTGCTTCTAACGTATTTATCAGGTACCATGTGATTTTTTTTTGTTGCTTTGTATGTTCCTTCCCCATGGTATAACCCGTTTTCACTTTATTGGATGTTGGTATAATTTGGGGAGGGGAAGGTTTAAAAAACTAAATGTTTAAATAGGGATACAGGTGGACCCATTGCAACGATGAGACGTACAAGACACTATGTTGAAAAACGAACTTTACAATTTAGGCTGGGGGCAGGGAGAGTGTAGGTGTGAGGTGGGAGGGAAGGATGGTAGGGGAAAAACAAAGGAGGAGGCAACGGTGCTGGACAGGAAATGTACTCATTACCTTGCTCATGTAACTGTAACCCCTCTGTACAGTATTTTCACAATAAAAAACTTCTTAAAAAAAGAAAAAAAAAAAGAAACACGACAGAATGGAGAAGCTCCATGGCTAGACAGAGTTCAAAGGCCAGGTGTGCAAATAAAGGGTTGTTGTGAGGTTTAAGAACAGAATAGCAGTGACGACTATGTCCACCAGGAGCCCCGAGGTGTGCTCCACAGAAGGTCTTTGGTGTCCATGGTGTGACAGGACGCTCTGCGTAGGGCAGATGGACGCCGTCAGGATGTGCCAAGTGTGGGCTGCAGTCTAGTGTCCTTTCCCTACTTGCACTGTACAGCTCCTGTGGGCACAGCCAGGCCGGGCCTCTTGGCTGCTCTGGGCAGCTCCCTCGACCCCTGGATGAGGCTTGCTTTCATCAGGCCATGAGCACATGGCTGCCCGAGGCTACAGAGACGTCAGAAAATGCAATTGTACCAA